ATTAGTGCCATCATTGTATAAAAAGGCCTTTTTATACAATGGTGCCATATAAGCATAGTAATACCATTCAACTCTACGCCAACCAACTGACATTGGAATCTGATGCAATCGTCAGCATCATCGATATTTGTAATACTAATTGAGGACAATAACCGTTGCTAATACTTTAATAAAAATTATAATTTAGTCTTGAGTTAGAATCCGTAGTTGTAACTTGCAAAAAATAAATTGTTTTAAAAACCCTTTCGCGAGTTTACGTATTATAACTTGTATACCTATAGAGGTGGGAAGGAGATACGCGAAGATTCATGGAAATCCAAATGATCTCTAAGGATATAGCTGAACATCCATGGAGATCCAAGGATGTCCATGAAGATCTATAGAGTCCCAAGAAGATCCCCACGATTGGAGATTTTCTGTCCAAAAAATCGCAAGTAAAGTGATTACCCCCTCGGACTGAACAGCCCTTAAAAGCTCAATGGAAAATACTTCCATGGCAGCGGATAACCCTTTAAGCCTATCATCAAATATCAAGTTTGATTAATTTTCGTGCATAAATAGCGGTGATAGCATGATATTTCCTGCATTTGTTAAGAGTTAAGTGCCCCTAGGGGTATGATGGTAATTTAATTTGAGGTTATAATTAAGTAAACAGTGTTAATTTGTGATGACCGATTTAGTATCAAAAAAAAGGTGTAAATTTTGCAAAAAGGACGTAAAAGACTCATATGATTGCCAGATTTGCCTATCATCGTACCACAAGAGTTGTGGTTTGCAATATAAGGTGCTAAGCAAAGAACTTAAAGCCATTTGTTGTGAACGCGAAAAAAGTGTGGTTAATGAGACCAAGGAAAACATGGACAAGCAGCTTCTAATGGACATTAAAGCAATGTTTCAAAAGGAATTCAAAAAGTTTGAAGAAAAAATCACCAAGCAATATGACAGTGAAATGAAGGATCTCAGAGCTAGCATTGAATACATGTCCGAAAAGTTTGATCAACAATGTAAGCTTTATGAAGAATGTATGATTGAAAACAAGAAAACAGAAAAGCAAAATAAGGAACTAAATGAACGAGTGCAGCTCCTTGAAAATAAGCTAAATATAATAGAGCAGAATGAAAAACAAAACAATATTTTGGTTAATGGAATTCCAATCCAGGAAAATAAAACGATTAAGGAAACTGTATCTGAACTTTTTGTGGGAATGGGTATGAAGCTGGGTGAGGCAGATATTACTCATTGCTATAGAATTAACACAAATGCCGAAACCAAGCCAATACTTATTAAATGTAAAAACTTGGAAGTCAAACAGAAAGTATTTAAACAAAGAAAGGAAATTAAGAGCATTACTACCAAGGACTGTAAATTTGCAGGACCAAATAAACAAATTTACCTGAATGATGAACTCACAAAGCATAATCAAGGATTGTTTAAGGCTGCAAGAGAATATAGAAATAAAAATAATTTCAAAGCTGCTTACGTTAGTAATGGGAAAATATTTATTAAAAAAACGGAGCAGGGTTCTCCAATCAGAATATATTCTGAGCGAGACCTTATGGCCTAGACTACCAGTGTCAAATGACTAAATAGTAAATACTGTAAATAACTTGTAGATATGTACTTATAGAGGAGCTTCACTTGAATTTGTTGTATACCAATATAAGAAGCTTAAGGAATAAAATGGAGGATATTGAAACTATGGTAAAAACTTATAATGAGCCTCAAATATTGGTATTTACGGAAAATTGGATATATAAGGAAGAATCAAAATCATATAATGTTGATGGGTATAACATGGAGCATAACTGCAGACCAACTAGAGGTGGAGGCGTATCAGTTTATGTAACACAGTCTCTAAAATACACTGTTGAAATGAATAAATCCATTAACAATTGTGACTGGTTAATAATAAAAGTAATTAGTCCTAATATCACAATAATCGCTGTATACAGACCTCCGTCTGTTAATTTCAACCTCTATTTGAATGACTTGGACAACATTTTAAATGATTTGAGGAATCCCACTATCTTGATTGGAGACATTAACATGAACCTATTCAGGGATTCGGAGTTGAAAACAGACTATGAAACTATAATAACTGGGAACGGCTTTAAATTCTTAAATACGACATTGGCTACCAGAGAAGTAAATAACTCAAAAACACTTATTGATCATTCAATTATTAATATAGAAAATTCAAATATAACCTATAATCATTATGAAAGTTGTTTAACAGATCATAAACTGCAAATAATAGAAATCAATCAATTTAAAGTAAAGCCACCAGCAAAAGAAAAGCGATCTATCAATGTTTTAAACAAAGACCTCTTTTATAGGCATTTTGATGAAAAATTATCTGAGACCTATATAAATGACTTTGCAACACTAGCTGAAGTCATACAAAATGCAAAACGAACATCAATTACTAATAAAACCATAAGAGTTCGAAATAAGACATGGATTAATAATAATTTCTTGAAACTGATAAATGAAAGAGATAAAATATACTCAAGGCTAAAGCGTAACCCGGACAATGAAATGTTAAAAAAGGATTTTAAAACTTTAAAAAACCAGTGTAACAATTTAAAAATCAGACTGAAAAGTAACTATATATCCAGTAAATTTGAAAATGCACAGGGAGACTTACGTAAAACATGGCAAATTGTTAATAATGTGATTGCAAACAATTATAACAATAACAGTCAAGAAAACATTATAGATTTCTTGTTAATCAATAATAAAAGAATTGATGATGATCAAGAAATTGCAGACTGTTTGAATGCTTATTTTCGAGATATAGGAGGCACTATTGGCAAGGAGGTTGAAGAACAAAGGATACAATGTGATCAGGTGGATTTTAATGAGAAATTTCCTGAAATATATGAACAACAATCCATATTTTTGAAACCATGCACTGAAGTAGAAATTGACGAAGTTATCCGTGAACTTAATGCAAAAGCAGCTCCTGGACCTGACGAAATTACAACCTCTGACTTGCGAGTTATAAGGAATCTGATAATTCCAGTGTTGGCCAGGCTAACAAATGATGTTTTGTCAACCGGTCGCTATCCAAATTGTCTTAAACGAACTAAAATAATTCCAATCCATAAGGCTGGCAGTCAACATGACCCTTGCAACAAGAGACCTATTGCTCTGATATCCACTTTGTCTAAAATTGTCGAGAAGATAATAAAGATTAGATTATATGACTTTATTGAAAAAACCTTTAAATTTGATCCGCAACAGTATGGCTTCCAAAAGGCTGCAAATACGCAAGTAGCTGCAGTTGACATGGTTGAGTATATCTCGAGTAGCTTGGACAGGGGCAAATATGCGATTGCGGTTTTCATAGACCTTCAAAAAGCGTTTGATACCGTAAATACTAAAATTCTCTTGAAGAAGTTGGAGGGTATGGGAATTAGAGGAGTAGCACACAATCTTATGGAATCTTATGTCACAAATCGGAAGCAGTATACAGTGGTCAATCAGCAAGAGAGTGGAGTGGTCATCTCAAACAGTGGAGTTCCACAAGGCTCGGTCCTGGGACCCTTGCTGTACCTCTTGTATGTGCACAGTCTCTCAAAGGCAAACCTAAACTGTAAATATATAACATTTGCTGATGATACAGTGTTACTTTTCGAAGATTCAAATATCAAAGACCTGCAGCAAACCGTTAATCACTCCCTGTCTACCTACTATAAATGGCTTCTCAAAAACAACTTGAAGATTAACGTTAACAAAACAGTGTTTATGACTTTCAAACAAAAAAACAAATTGATATCCAATCCTATAGACATAAAAATCAATGACACGTCATTGAAAATGGTTGACTCCTACAAATACTTGGGGCTGACAATTGACAAAGAGTTAACATTTAAACTACATGTCAACTTATTAAGAAGAAAACTTGCTGGTGCATGTGGTGTGATTAAAAAATGTGTCAACTTTCTACCTAACTGCATGAAGTCTGTAATATACGAAACAATATTTAAATCACATCTGCAATACATGTGTACTGTATGGGCTGCAGCTTCAAAGACACTACTTCAAAAACTGCAAAGGTTGCAAAATAGATTCATTAAATATCTCAATCATCTACCAAGACTCCACCCTACTTTTCAAATCTATAGAGAGAATAAGATGTTGAAAGTTGAACAAATCGTGCACCTTGAAGAATCCAAACTTATGCAAAAAATTATACACAAGCAAGTCAAGACGAATACCAAACCTATAAGAAATACTGACATTCATGGGTATTGCACCAGAAAACGTGGCAACCTGTACATAACATCATCCAGAACTAACATTGGAAGAAACAGTGTTGTTAACAGAGCAATGATGAAATACAACAATATTCCAGAAAACATACGGAGAATAATTTCTCCCTTTGGGTTTAAAAAAAAAACTTAAAAAATTGTTTGTGATGCAGAACTGTTTGTGAACCCAGAATTTTCTAGTTCCTATTTGCTGATGCACCTAATTTATGAATAATTTATGAATATTTATTTAATTTATCCAAATTTCTTTAACTATTACTATAGCTATATTAAAGTAAATAACCTCAAATATTGAAAAAACTCTGTTACATAAAAGCTAGGACTCGGTACCAGTCATGTACATGTACTGTTTTGAGTTCATAAATAAAGTTTTATAAAAAAAAAGTATTTTTTTCAAAAACCATCCCTAAATATAAATTTTCATCAATTTCCATCAAAAATTAGGTTTGGCAGCACGTTTTGGTCAGCAAATTCTCCCTCAGTGTGTAGTTTATGGAAAAGTTACCTATGAATAACTAAAGAAGCAGGTCCTAACCAACCAAAACCAGCAGCTATAGTATTAAACTCCACCTGTTTCCAGCTGTGCAAAGCGTCCAACATTAAATCAGTGCGTACTAACCCTAAGCTAAGAGGCTGAAGGAGAAGGAATATGAATGAGGATTGATTTGATGGTCATGCCAAGCAACATTTAAAGCCCAAATAATGTTTATAATAAGCGGTTACCTGATTTATTCCTTCATCTAATACTGTTTCCCATATTTTATATAAATTCCCTGTAAACTCATCTACTTGTATTGTGTCCTTTAACGTTTCTTGTAGAAATGCTTTATTGTGAGCCACCCTATGCATAAGTTCATTCAAAGTAGTCTTAAAACGATATCATATTTTAATAATACAAAAATTAATTAAGTCATTCAATAATTACTTGTATTTCAACAGCCTTTTGAAACTCCTTCCTAGGAAATGTGGAAGGCAATAACAAAAACGGAGCAAAGCTAATAGAGTCCTCCGAAAAGGCCGCTTTCGATCTCATGCCTATACCGTTCATCAAGGCCCAATCTTTGGTTTTGGGGACCAGCTCAGCGAGGACTTTGTCTTCAATTGGTATCGGAATGCAACTTGGTAATCTTCTGATTGACATGATGAAGGTAATGGGTCGACAGATAATATTTTAAATGCTTCAGAGGCTGGAAAACAGTGATATTAGTTCACAGAAGCCGCAAATATATCTGATAAAATTGATGCAAAGTCATGGAAGATATCAAAAAAAAAAAAGTAATCAGTGACAATTAAAGTAGGTAAATAAACAAATATACAAATATAGCTATTAAAGTACCCCGGGCCAGGTATCTACGTATTTGTTGAATCAGCGGACCTTGAAATTGTTGGTTTATTATTCTGTGGTTTTTTATTTGTCATTCTAATAATTATTCTAGGTTATAACAATAATTTAAAAATCCCGCGCTCAGCATTGATTGGCCGGTGAAAAAGACAGTGTTATCACATGACCGACTCTGGATTATAAATAAAAGTGCATCAGCTCACTCCGAACTAGTTCGGAACAGGGAGTATTCGAATATTTTGCACTAGCTCTCTCGTACACCGAAAGAGTGCAATTACTGCAATTGCAACTGCGAATTGTAAAATCGAGCGAATTCAATAATTGAAAATTGAACTCTCTCTTTGTGATTTAACATCCATCTTCGTTTCTTTGTCCCATAGGAAGTGAAGTTTCGTGCACTTGCACCGATCAAAATCCCGATTCGAAAAAGCCCGAACGCTGGTCGCGGATTATCGAAAACCCAAATACAAATCAATAGAACACTTAGAGCAGATTATTTCCTAGCTAGAAGGAGTAGAAACGGGGCGTAGGAAAGTGAAGCTGTATTATTCATTAGTTGTTCAATTGGTGACCAAACATTGGCTTCAATTTCGATTCACGGAATGGCACATTGCTACTCCTAATGTGCTTTACATGCTCTAAAATAGAACAGGAGAATTTTTGCTCGCTCATCTGTACCAACTCGAACACGAATTTGTGCATTCTACGCGAACTGAGTGCGCACTAGGGCAGGTTTGGGAGGATCGATTTGATTCAGTTCCAAACTAGCTCTAGAGATTTAACAAGATTCTCAAATTCGAAACTACGTAGTCTATGCCATTCAGCTACATTCAAAATTATCCTTTTCCTTTTTCAAAATTGTTGGCGTTAAATTAAAATCCTGAAATGGTTCAGATGTGATCCGCTAACAGCTAAAATCGATTCCGGTTCGATTCTGAACTAGTTTTATACCAGTTTTAAAAATTTAACAAGAACCAAAAGTTCGAGACATTAAAAATCGTTCGCAATAAAATAGGAAGACTCAAAAATAGTCTTTAATTCGTTCTGACTGAATTTTAACTCTAGAATATTCAGAAAATCAAAGTTTTATACTTCTCCAATTAGTCCAATCCAGTTTTCGCTCTAGTAGAGCTGAAATTGAATTCGAAATATCAGATCTAGTGGAGCTTGTAATCAGATTTTCACGTGTCTCTAAATTGAATTTTACCTCTACAAGGTTCAAAAATTATCTTTGTTAACCACTTTTGCTCAGGCGGATTACTGAATTCCGAATTTTCGTTAAAGTTCCTTATTCGAGGTTCAACTGGAATCGGTTTGGGATCGATTCTAGTACTAGGCTTTATAAGCCTAGTACTCATAACTGCGAAATTCGCATTTTTTTGACATTGCGTTGAAAATTTGACGTTTTATGCGTGTATCAAACGTCAAATTGTCGAAGCAATGTCAAAAAAATGCGAATTTCGCAGTTATGATTACTAGGCTTTAGAGCTGTTAACGGTTCAATTAAGGTCTGTTTCCACAGAACTCACAAACCAGTCAGAGCGAATTTCATTGGTTGAAAATAGTCAAGATACTGGTTGTAAGCGATTTGGATCAATTAAAAATGCTCTGACTGGTTTGTGATTTCTGTGGTAACAGTAGAGCTTTATTATCGAACTGTTTTGATCAAACTTCTTGATCCATCGAATTTCACGGAGCAAGAAAGAGCATTTCATGCGAGTTTTGAGAATGTTCTATTGCTCAAGTGGAACACGTGAATCTCGCCGGGGCAACGCTCCGTTTAAAGCCGAACATGTGAATCCGTTTCGAACCGCTTGTCGACTGCAGTTTTGGGACAGAACTCGGTTGGTGACCAAACAACTGCGAAAGGGCTTCTCGATTCATGCTATAATGTGCTTTTCCTGCTCTAAGGTAGAACGCAGAACTCGATAAAGTTTGATCGCTTTATTGTGAACTAGTGCATTTAGTTATTTGACACTCATTACGAAGTGTCGGTTCGAACCAAGGACCTGGAGCTGTACTCCTTTCACACCTAGGAGTTCCGGAACAGCTCCGGGGCGCTACGCGCTCATTGCTTTTGACAAGTTTTTATTGCACCTGAATAAGTGCTCAACCCCGAATCAAACCATTTAAATGCACGAAAGCCAGCGCAACTGGGGGGCTTTATTTGAAATTGATGCAACTTTGCGTACACGCAAATATGACACAAATGACGTAATTTTGCGATTGAAAAGGTGCATGTCAAATAAGCCGTGCACCAATTTTCAATCGCGAATGAGGTCATTTGCGTGTTCGCAAAGTTGCATCAATTTCAAATAAAGCCCCCCTGTTCCTTTCAAATCGAAGTCGACTAATACCGAAGCGAGTAGCTCTAGTGTTCTAAGCTCTTGAAAGGAGTACAACTAGGATTGCTTATCTTATCGGCCTCGTTTTTGCTAATCGCCGCCATATTGGTGTGTCACCATTTCCGACGTCATAACTAAGTCATCAGCTGTTTAAACAGCCTACGTCAAGGCGAGAAATAACATGCTGCCTATTTCACAACTGGTGATTTGGCATTGGGGGAGATTTGTTACACACGGCCCTTATGAGGATAGGCCATCCTGTAGTAATAGTGTGTATCATCCTTGGGTTCGAAATACACTAGAGTTATTTTTCAACGAAAGAAACCGTCAAAAAATGGTTCTGGAATAGCTTTAATTTTATATAATGCAAATCCGAATCATTTATTTTAATCACGAGAAGTTTGAATAAGATTTACCTACTCCAAATGTTTGATTAGATTACATTAGATTACACTGAATTTGACATCATCCTCACTCAACAACACTACGCCAGTTGAAAAATATGTGACGGCCTTTGTAATTTTAGTCCAAGCGTGGGTTAAGAAATTTTCCTTCAAAAGCGTTCTTTTTGGGAGTGACTTCGATTGATTCTGAACGAATAACACCGGAGCTAGTTACTAAAAAAGAACGCGGCTTGGGACGATTTCGGATTGGTATCCTGACCTTGATACTTTAAGGAAAATTAGTAAAACGACTTGAGAGTACTTTCCGAATTCGCTTCCCACTGAACATGCAATGTTACGAAAGCCTAATGCAATATTACTCTGATATGTTCTAATCTTAGTTTCGCAACATTACAATGTAATATTGAATTATTTTTGACACAACATTACGTTAATAAATTACAAAATGGAATATCCTTGAAATTTTAACGCATATTAGAAATTATAACTTGTACGCAAATTAACATTGTAAATATGCATTTAAATTGAACTGGTATAATTTTTGCAATGTTATAATAACTACCAAATGTAAACTTGCTGCAAAATTGGAAATATAACTTGTAGGTAAGGTTATATCGCAAAGATGCCTTAAAGTTGTGTTGATATTATTTTGCAATGTTATAATTTAATATTGAATGTAAACTTGCTGCAATATAGCAGACATAATATATTGGAAAATCGAAAGCTTTTTACTTTATAATATATATTATAGCTACATTACTTTTTTATTGCAGTAAAGTTGCGAACCCAATATATTTGTAATAAAAATGCAATATTGCAGAAAACTTACTAATAAATTGCAAGTAACCCTAAGGTATATTTGAATTTGTAACCTTACACTCGTAAGTTTGCTAAAGTTTTGATCTAATATTCCAGTAATATTGCTGAAAGGTTATCATTTATAAACCTTGCATTTGTAATATTACCCTAAGGTTGTTTCAGTACTTGCCGCAATACTGCGTCAACATTACAGTAAACTTCAATATAACCTTACAAGTTTGCAGTGTAATGTTACCTCATTATTACTGTAACCTTATTTTGTTCAGTGGGTTAGTTATATAATTTATAGCGTATTTCATTAGTAGAACAAGTGCAATACTCGTTTTGCACTGACATCGTTCTCGTACTTTAAAAAAGCTGCACCGACATGAGCTTTTTAGCCGGTGGCGGATCAACAGCATTCAGTGCAAAACTCAGTACATTGCTTTCCCAATGGAATACAAATGTGCAACGCGGACTTTGCCAATAGATCACGAATATTGCACCAGTGTTGTACTTGCTCTACCATTGAAATACGCATGTCTATCAACTTAGCGAGACAACTTCGGAAAATCGATTTTCCGTTATGCCAAGAATTTGCCGCTTTTTTGCCGCTAATTAAATGTGGAATTAAAAATTTTGCCGCTCTTTTGGTTTTTTCTTAATTACGTGTTTTGCTAACTTGACGTCAAGATAGCGAGACAACATCATCAAATATGTCAGCAGTAAAAAATTAGGTAGATGAAAATTTGTCGTTTTTTTGCCGCTAATTAGTTGTGTAAACCAAAAATTTGCCGGTTTTTTTTTCCATAATTAATCAAGTTTGAAAAAAAATTATTTGTTTCGCTAACTTGACGTCAAGTTAGCGAGACAAATTATCACTAAAAATGTCGGTAGTGATAAGTTGAGTGAATGGAAATTTGCTGTTTTTCTGCCGGTAATTAGATGTGGAAACTAAAAATTTGCCGCTACCTTTCTTTTCATAAGAAAATCGTGTTCGAAAATAAAATAATGTTTTGCTAATTTAACGTAAAGTTAGCGAGATCACTAAAAATGTCGGTAGTGATAAATTGAGTAAGTGCAAAATATCGGGTTTGAAAAAAAATATCATTGTTCAATTGACATCAAGTGAGCAAAACAGTATCATTAAAAATGTCGGTAGAGAAAAATTGAGTGGTAGAGAAAAGCTGTGGAAATTTGCCGCTTTTTGCCGCTAATTAAATGTGAAAACCCAAAAATTTGCCGCTCTTTTTCTCCATGAAAAAATCGTGTTTGAGAAAAACTTGTGTTTCGCAAGCTTGCCGTTAAGTTAGACCGACATCAACACAAAAAACGAAGGGCAGTATAAAATTAGGTGAGTAAAAGTAAATGATCTCCCACCCTTGATTTTTATGCAGCCTGTAAGTATATTTTAATTAGTGAAACTCAACATTTGTTGGAGCAAATATTATTTATTTCTAAATTTTTTGAGAATAGTTTTACATTTTTTTTTCTTTAGCTTAGGAAAACTCTATTGAAGCCTTATAGGTTTCAAAAATCAGAAAGCGCAATATCGTGTGCTCATTTATACAGAAAATAAAATAAAATTAGAAAT